AATGGGTCCCGGAACCGGGTCGGGTAGGCCTATCCAATATGAAGTTAACAATATTGCAAATTTTCTAAAAATAGACCTATATCTGAACTGATTCATATAGGGAGATAAAAAGAGTATATAGGGTTTGAAAAGATATAAATAAAATTAAGAGTTTGAGATATAATAAGTACATAGTTTTAATAAAAAAAAGTGCATTAGCAAAATTAGTTACATATCTCATTAAAAATGAATAAAAATGAATTAGTTTTAAGAAAAATAAACATTTGTTTTTTCGAATAAAAAGATGTGGTATGTGTATAAAGTTGTCACTAGATGTGTGGTTGTGTGTGGGTGTGTGTGTATATATCATCATCATCATTACCCCAGTGCCGCAAAGGCTCCCACCCGCGGTGAGATAAGAGGGGTCGGATGTACGCAGTCTTACCCCTCTACTAAAACACAGAGAGACTGTCTCCGAATGATCCATAGTCAAAATCGCATCGAAAATTGCATAGACTGACTGTTACTTCATAACAAAGAAGCACAAACATGAGCAATTTTTCTTTATTCCATCATATTCCCAAGCCAAAAAATAGTGAGTCTGGCTCCATTGAAAATGATGGAAAATGTATGTCTATATATGAATTGTAGAATTATGGGAATTTCTAAAGGGTATGGGCCCTTATCGGATTGGAATCACATGTACCATACCCTATCCATCTATAATAAAAAATTATGGGCCCGGGTAAATGGAATAAAGTGTAGATCCATACTCATTATAAAAAACGAGCCCGGGTCAAAACCCGGCCCGTTGACAGACACACACTAGTTGTGTGTTAGTGTGTGTGTGTAACACGGAATTGTAGGATTGGGAATTTCTAACGGGCATGAGTCCGTAACGGGCTGGAATCACATGTACCATACCCTCATCTAGCCCAAGAAGAAGCTTATCACTCTTAACTCTAATCCACATTTGTTTGGGTCTTTCTCTCCTCCTCGCCTCTTTTCCACACCTCTCAACTCGTCTAACATGTATCTTTATGCACATGAACAAACCAATGCAATCGGGACTCTCGCATCTTATCTTCAATAGGTGTTACTCCCACATTTTGTCTGATTATCTCTTTCCTCAAACAGTATTTTCGAGTGTGTCCACACATCCAACGCAGTATGCACATCTCTGCCACACTCATCTTTTGAATGTGACATTGTTTTATCGCCCAAAAATCTATGCCAAACAAGTACCGCTGCACATCATGGTGACATTGCTCTTTCTTAAACTTCTCTTTCATAACCTTCATTTAACAGACATTCTTTAGGAACCAAAATAAAAATCCCACTGGCTTAATTAAAAACAATCTCGCTATAAAATAGACAACACACACATGTGACTATGAGTACAATAACGAAAACACATGAAAAGGAAAAGAAAAAAACTGGCAAATGTTGAGGACATGGTTCAGCTGTTTGATAAAGCAGTGTGTTGGAATTTCTAAGTTCATCATTTGTTCTTTTTTCTTTCTGCACTACATGTGCCCAGTTACTACTTGTAGATCCTTTATTCCTGTGTGGTCTCTATAAGTCTATAAGCATTATCTTGGTTGCAGGAGTGGCCTTCCTGATTTTGATGGCATTGAAGAAAAGATGTTGAATGCACTGGATAAGGTGGAGAAAGAAATAAAAAAGCCGCTAATGAGAAATGACAAAAAAGGGATAGCACTCCTTACCGCAGAGTTTGACAAGATCAACCAAACGTGAGCTCCATTTATAACAAGACAATATATCTTTGCTTCCAAACTACTAAGTTCTGACTGTCCAATCTGTGGAAATTTTACTTGCCGATGCCCTCATTTGATGGGACTTCACTGACTTCTCTTTGAATAGTTATTTTGATTATCTTGTCTTGGTTGGTATGTAGTTGAGATGTACCATTTCTGATTTGTTTGTTCTTGCCACAATCATTTAGACTTGGCATACGCAGAGAAGATCTGCCCAAACATGAAGAAGAATTGGAAATTAAGATTGCCACAGCTCAACTCCAAGAGTTGAAGAAGGATGCCCTTGAGGCAATGGAAACTCAGAAGAAGAGGTAATTTGGTCTTCATCCCAATTTTATGTTTTTTCCTGTACAACCGAGATGCGCTTCCATAATCATTCTTGGTATTTAGTCCTTCACCTCCTATTCAATGTTTTCATACACTTGGGCACTCGTAGCTGTGTCTGTGAGTTTCCATCCATAAGCCCATATGCAATATGCCTTTATTTCCTTAGAATGACACTTTTATTCGCAGGGAGGAGTTCAATGATGAAGAAATTCCTGACGTGAAGTCTTTGGACATTAGGAACTTTCTCTAAAAAGAGCATTTAGTTGAAGACAGGATTTTTTGTGCATTTCTTTCATGTTGGCATAATGAGCTCATAAGTGATCTGTGCTGAGCTATTATAAAAATAAAATTATTGGCCAAGTAGTTGGACACTTTGTGCATTAACACCACAAGAGATTTACCATTGCTTTCAGTGGGTTTGTAATCACAAATTCACAATGTGATATTTCATTTGAAGCTAGGGGATGATGACAATGTCGTACTGTTGATATTTTAATCTTGCCCCGTAATGAATTAGTTTCTGCACAAAACACATTCTTAAGTTTGCATAATCACCATTGTGTGATTTGAGACTTGAGAGCAGCGCAATGGTTCTAAATATGGGTTGACCTATTTCACGTTGGTTCAAAAGTAATTGGTGCCTGTAAATTCAGTAATTGCCTAATTGGTATCCGCTCCTGCATTATGTTTTTTACCTTTTTTTCAAGTAAAAAATTGGAGCCGCTCTGGCCATATTTTGGATTAATGGAATTGATTTGGACTGGTTATATGTGCCTATTTCAGTTTGAACGGATAAAACTTGCAACTGACCAGTCTGACCTGGTCTTTACTGGACTGAGTTTTTTCCCAAACAAGAGTAATTTTCAATCTTATTTCCCAAAACGGGATAGTTTTAAACTTATTTTCCAAATAAGGGTACTTTTGCCTCGTCATCCGTCATGTCATCACAATTGTCAGCAAGATGGCCAGTCACATATTCCACGTCATCCATTGTCCCTCTCCCATATCATCATCTAATATTAGGGGTGGACCGGTTCCGGTTAGGGCCTGGTTCGGGCCTGGGCCCGGTCGGGCCTCGATTCAGAAATGGGAGGCCCGGAACCGGCCCGGGTAATCCCGGTTCCGGTTCGGGCCGGGCCGGGCCTCAGTCCTATTTTTTTTTTTTTGGCTTTTCCTAATTAACCCCCAACCCTCCCCCTCAACCCCAAACCACCCCAAACCATCTCAAATGGCCCAAAATACCAAGCCCAACCCAAAAACTTAAAAAAAATTCAAAAAAAGAAAAAATAATAATTTGGCCCGAACCGGGCCCGAACCGGCCGGGCCGGTTCGCCAATCACAGGGCCCGGGCCCGAACCGCACAGTAACCGGGCCGACCCGAACGGCCCCCCGGACCGGTTCCCGGGCCTGGCCGGTTCGAACAGTAACCGGGCCGGGCCGCCCGGCCCGAGTCCATCCCTATCTAATATATGTGTGCTAAAAATGTTAGCAAAAATGAGGGTGGAGGGAATTGAACCCGTGAACTAAATTACACAACATAAGTCCCAAACCGGTAGACTAACTCATTCGTCTGTTACATATTCTCCCTTAGAACTATTTTTACTATACATATGTTAAGTTCTGAAAAGCACAAACTTAACTCATGTATTACTCTTTTTTTTGAAAAATACATTACTTCTTCCTCAAATAGTTGAACCATAATAATTTCAGATAATCAATTAAAAATAAATACATAATTATAATATACTAAAACTTAATTTTGGATGTGAAATTAAAAAATTAAAAATAATTCAACACTAAATAACATAAATGTAAATAAGTGTCATGTTATGACCAAGCTCACACCAATTTTAAAAACAAAACTTATATTATTAATGTAAATAAAGTGGCAAAAATTATGTATTTATTTATATACTTACTTTTTATATATGTATTTATTCATATATCTATTCAGGGGTGATTTGAGTTTGCACCTCATATTATTGTCTAAATTGGAATTTACACCCCATTTTTAAAAATCTTTGTTTTTGCACCCAATCTCAAATGAAAAGACGAAAATGTCCCTCCATTTTTTGCTTTTTATTCTTAATCGCCCTATGAGAGCCGTCACCTTTGCCAATCTGAATCCTTCTGGAGAAGCCGCTCAAATCTGTCGATCCGCTAGGACATGCTCTATGGACATGCTTGAAAGTTTGATTTGTTTTTTGTTATTTTTACTTTTTACAAACAAATTAGATGAGCCGCTATTTTATGATGCCAATTGCACTCATCATGATCATTAAAAGTTATATAGGTCCATAACATATTGGATCTTACATTCTTACTGAGTTCCATTTAAGCTCATCAACCTCATTCAGCAACTCCTTAATTATGTGAAGTAAATAATGCATAGAATGGTCGGAAAATGGAAAGATTGGAGTAGGGCTGGACTCGGGCCGGTTCGGGCCCGGTTCGGGCCTGGGCCCGGCCGGGCCTCGGGCCAGGAAAGGGGAGGCCCGAGCCCGAACCGCCGGTGGCCGGTTCCGGGCCAAACCGGGCCGGGCCGAACCGGCCCAATTAATTTTTTTTTGTTCTTCTATTTAATCCCCTACCCCTCCCCCTCAACCCCAAACCATCCCAAACCACCTCAAATGGCCCAAAATACCTAATCCAACCTAAAACTTAAAAAAATTTCCAAAAAAATAAATAAATTAAAATCCGGCCCGGACCGGGCCCGAACCGGGCGGGCCGGTTCACCAAAACCTGGGCCCGAGCCCGGACCGCCCAGCACCCGGGCCGGGCCAAACCGAACCGGTGGACCCACCGGGCCACGGGCCGGGCCAAACAGTGACCGGGTCGGTTCGGTCCCGGGTCGGGCCGCCCCGGCCCGAGTCCAGCCCTAGATTGGAGGCATTAATGTAACACTAGGGACAGAATGGCAGATTGAGGTAGCACTTCACTGAACAACATAGTGGTTCCGTTGACCTGGCCAAGGCTCAAACCAAACAAGCAGAACTTTAACAGAGAGGTCTGCTGTATGGTTGAGAAAGGTGAAACAGAAAGGTCACCTTGCTCCTGCAGCATGCTAAAGAAACACTCTGTACCAGTACACTATGGAAGCATTCTATGACAGTATGACATCATGTTCTAGGTAAAAAGAACAAATTAATCCTCTGAAGGAGAATCAAAATCCACCAAAATCTGACCCAAAAGTGGACCCATTTGACTATTTACAGCAAAACTAAATCACTAGAAAGTGGTACGCATTCTCCCACTTCCAGAATCCAATTTACCGGCATCATCAATCATCATCTATTGTCAAGTACTCACTCCACTTGGAAATGGCTCCCTTCGCTGCTGTGGCCAGACTCTCCTTGTTAGGCTCTTCGTTTACAAAATACATGTTTGATTTGGCAACCTTTTTTGTAGAGCAACAAGACGGAGTATCTTGAGACTCTAGTGTGCCATCTTCCCATTCAAGAGCACTCTTTGACATTGGTCCTACATCTGCAGAGTTAACATTATCAACTGATGCTTATCAATTACATTTTCCTTTCATTTTCAGTTAGTGCTACCTTCATCCTGCAATGTGCTGTGTTTTTTTGCATTCCTTTTTGAAAAGACTGGCCGGAAACGCTTCTCGCTGTCAGATTGTGATCCTGCAGTGTAATTGCTGAACTTGGGCCTTTTGAACATTGCCTTTGGAAGCTCCGTCACTATCCTTGTCTCATTTTCCTCCTCTGTGCATCAAATGACAACAGTGAAGCACATTAATCAAACGCCTTATTATTTGATCAATTGATCCCATATTCACTTTGAACATCAGAACCAAACAACAAGCTACTCTCATGAATTTCATAAAATTTATAGAACTTCCTACTAATGGACCAATTGGTCTAAAGCTTATGATTCAATGGAAGATCTCTCGAAGTTCAACCTTCATTTCTCTCAATTGCATTTAAAATAAGCTGGGCTCATAAACTGTCACTTTTTTTATACTATCTCAGTCACACTAAGACCGGAACATGAGCAAGTGACGTAATCTAAAGAAGGCGGAGTTATTATATAGATGGTATTGAACTTGTAAGCATATAATATAATAGTGAATAAATCAGAGCCACACACATATTAATATGATGATGCAAAGTTAGTAGGACGGGTAAAAATGGACAACAGTGGGTCCAAGTGAAGTACATAATAAATTTAACTGCATAGCATAATCCTCATCATCATCATCATAAATTCCTACCAATCGATGAATTGAATTCAAATCAGTAACGGAGTTCATAAATCTGTGAAATAATGACCTGTTGATTCGTCCTCCAAATCCAGGTACTCGGTCCAATCGGTTCTCTTGCTGTTGGGGTTGCTAGGGAAGGGGGCTTCTGTGTCTAGGGTTCGCGGCTCTTGGTGTTGAGGGAGATCGGAGAGCTGGCGGGACATGTTGAAACTCTGGACGAACTTCCGAATATCCTTTGCCATGAACCCCTGAGCGAACACTTTGCGTAGGGACTGCTTCTGGTTGCACACCACGCAGATCCACTTGTTGCTGCTCTTCTTCTTCTGCTTCACCTGAGAGAGAGAGAGATCCAATCCTTCAATCGCTTGTGTGTGAAAACAGACATGAATGGAATATTACCTGCATGGTGCAGCATTGGCAGCATTGTAGAGCAATGAAGACCGTTTGCATTTCTCAGAGATTTATTTATGTTGGAAACCAAAGTAGGTCTCAAATACGACTAGAAAGTGATTTTTAAAAAGACACGCATCTGTAGGCAAATGCACGTTAATGGGGCTGAAATTTTGGGCTCAACAACCAATTAAGAAAGGAAACTACCAAAAGTCCTGCACCGCGGTTCAATCGAAATCCAAAAGTAGTGGCATGGTTCCCACATGAATGAGCACACAAACGACAGTTCCGGCGAACGGAAACACAACAAGAATACTAAGGAAATTTGCAGAAAGTTGGATGTGTTTTTAGCTCTAACAAAATACGTGAACACTTGGTTGTGTGTTGTTGTTGCAAAGCACTTGCCAGCTGCTTACAGGGAAGGATTTGTAATGTGTTAAACTGTTAATGACATATTAAGGGACCTGAACATTGGAAATCAAGGAACAGTCTGTTGAGCATTGATTCGTCCATGAACTGTCCACTTAATGCTGCAGAACGTTAGACATTTATTGTTGTAACGCCTCAACAACAGCCTGCTTGTAGTCATTTAACATAAAGCAGCAGTCTCCTCCCAATGAGGGTTGGGCATGGAGCAAAGAATAGGAACGTTACGGGAAGAAACAAAAATTTAATCTTATCTTTAGAAGATTGATTTTCGGACGACATTCGTGTCCGCAGGAGGCCCGCAAGTCGCGGTTTTTCTTCTCCGTTTTTGGTATTTGATTAGCACCCACCTGCACGCGAAGAGAACCTTTCCACCTAACAATCTTAACTCCTTTAAAGAGGGTTCCCTCTATAAATCCATTGGGTTTTCCGGTGTGAGAAATATCACACTAAAACCCATCACTTTCCTAGTTTTCTTTATTCCAACGGGTGAACTTCAAAAATCAATTTCTCATTCACCCGTTATCCGTTTGAGTGTACGAAATATCAAATTGTGGTCCTTTAAAAGGAGAATTTGAAACCACTTTGACCCGACCCAAATTGGAAGTGGACCCCACTCAAAATATTTTGCCCAAAATTGACCGTTTAATGCAAATTTTATCACATTTTCCAACAATCTCCCACATGAATGAAAATCGATTTTTGAGACTTAAAAAAGACACGAAGATAGAAGGACAAGTTGTGTTAACCGGATGATCCCTGCATACGGAGAGTTAGGTTTTATCTTTTGAACCTAAAGACATGTTTATTTACTGGCTGTCTAGTGGACTCGATGTCATTGAACTATACTGCCGTCGTGTAGATATTGACTTATCTTTACACAAGAACCTTCCAACTTTGTTCCGTTCTCATGGGTGTGCCCCGTCTTGTCCATGTGTTACCGTCCTGGTTCTGCAAGAGTTTTTAAAGAACTGAGCCTATACTGTTCTCCTTTGAAGCGGTCCTCTTCTCCGTCACATAGGTGATTCTTTCACGAGTATCTCACATACTCTTCCAATGTTATAAAGCAGATCAACATTTCAGAATCATTAAATCAAACATTTTTGCTAACCTCGTGCGGGAGTCACTATTTCAACGAGGAATGAATAGGAGTCCGGGACCCCCACAATGACCATCCTTCGTTTTACAATTTAGTTGTCCCTTTTGAACCTAGGACCAACTAGGTTGGGTATCCACTATAGAACTTTTCAATTTACGGGCTTTAGTCCCATTCTTCGTGACAACTTCTTCAACAATTCTCCATCCAATGCTTTGGTTAGCGAATCAACTATGTTATCCTTTGACTTCACATAGTCAACCGTGATAACACCCGTTATGAGGAGTTGGTGTTATGTCTACGACGAACGTGTCTAGACTTACCATTATACAAGTTGCTTTGTACCCTTCCAATTGCCGCTTGACAATCGCAATGTATGCATATTGGAGGGACATGCTTTTCCCAACTTGGAATATCCTCAAGAAAATGGCGTAGCCATTCAACCTTTTCAGTGCACTTATCCAAGGCTCTTAGCACAGACTCCATCGTGGATCTAGCAATTACCATTTGTTTTGAGGATTTCCATGACATGGCTGCACCTCCCACAGTGAAAACATATCCATTTGTGGACTTTGAGTTCTTAATGTCGGGGGAGGGGAGCATTGCTATATTGTGCACGAAACTCATTAAATAAGGCATAAAATAAAGCACTAACCTCGTTGTATTCCGTTTTCGGATCTATGGGGTTATCGTCATACATGGGAAATTCACCAAAAAAGACAAGATAATAGAAGTTGAAACAATCTTCCAAATTAGCTAGTCTAAAATGAGGATCGAGAATAAATGCAATACCATAAATATGCGAAATATGTGCATAATATTTTAAAAACTTTTCCTTCGTATAATCACAAAAATAACTCACGAAAACGGCATTCTCAAATTCTTTAAAAGCACCGGCGAGATCAACGGCTTCACGAATAAATTGGTTTGCGGTAGATTTATAAACATGACTAAAAGTTTCAGTTACATAAAAAAATCAAAACATTACAATTTTTTTCGCAAGTGTCGATCTCAGCCGAGTTTATAATATAGTTATCATGTTGTTTTAAAAAAGCAGGAAAATGTTCTTTATATCTAAGAACAACTTTAAGTAATTTATAAGTACTATTCCAATGAATACTCAAATTTTTAGGAAAAGCAACATATCTCACACCTCTTTCAGTCAAATAAGTTTACCATTTTAATCTAAGTTGACCATTACCTCAAATACGTCTAATCCCCCCTTGACCACCTCCATAGCATCTCCTAACGCTTTTAGACCGTCTTGCACACATAAATTTATAACATGGCATGCAAAACGTTGATGAAAAATCTACCCATCAAAGTATTGGCACCACACAATTCACGCAATCTAGGTATATCAGCAGTATTATTAGTAGCATTATCGAAACCAATAGCAAACACCTTATCAATCAAATTATACTTAATTAAAATACGCTCAATCAAAATATAAATATGTTCAGCGGTGTGACGATCATTAAATTCACGAAAAGCAAGAACACGTTTATGCATATTCCAATCCTCATCAATATAATGTGCAGTCAGACCCAAATAATATAAATGATGAAAATCATCCTCCCATATGTCAGAACAAAGAGTAACACGCCCATCAAAGTTTGCAAAAAAAAGTTTGTAACCTTTCCTTTTCTGCTTTATAAAGCCTTATAATTTCTTTTTTAACAGTTTTGCGACTATAACCTCTATATTGCGGATTTAAACTACCTTGTGCATAATCTCTTAAAGCAAGACTTTCAGAAAACATATAAGGCAAATTTTCTTCACAAATTAAGTTAGCCATACCAGTCAAATTTTGTGCATCATTGTATGAGAAATTACCAAAAGGTTGAGAATTCGCAAACCTCGATATTTGAGTTTGCTTCCCCGTTCCGCCGCCTAATTTTTCATACTCCACGGGGTGCTTTGCCTTAAGATGCCTTGCAGCGGATCCGTATCCGTCGGAGGTCCACAAGCTATAATTGTTGTTGCACCACTTGCAAGTTGCGTGCCAATACCCGGTTTGTGGGTCCTTCCACTTATCAAAATTATTTTTCATTAGTTCAGATTTACTTTTTTTTATTACCAGTGGCGGTTTGGGATGATGCAGGCTCGTCGGCGTCGTGGCTGCCCGCACCCTCCTCCTCGGCCGTCTCCGGTTCCATTTCCTCCGCATCTTCATCCTCAAGCTCCTCTTCGTCAATGGTCGTCGGGATTTGTTGTTGTTGTAGAAAGCGGTTATTATGTCGGACCAATTCTTGTTGTAGTTGTTCTTCGGACATCACATCTCCATCTCTCCTTTGGTAACCCGTTTAAAAATCATCTCGGCTTTGAGATGAAGAGCCGGCAAGTTCTTTACCTTTGCGGGATTTCTTCCCCCCAATCTCGTTCCTTCGATTGCGCTCGAGGTTACCCAAATCAACCGAATATCTACCACCTTCCATCTTAAAAATGTAACAAATATTAATTTGCAACAAATATAATAATGAATACAAAAGTAATGCAACTAATTAAAACTATTTTAATTAATACTTCAAACTAATTTAGTGCAAACTACTTTAATAAAATGTGAAGTACTTTAATTAAGTAGAGAATTAAAGTGTGACACTAAAATACAAATTAAAATTTGAACCCGAATTAAAATGTTAAGTACTTTAATTAAACGATTGAACTACTATTTTTTTCGTTCAAATATAAATTGAAACTATTATAATGTGACTTTAAGTATAATGACAATCAACTAGTTTTTTGAAGTAGAGTTGTTTTAGCAATTAATGGGAATATTAATTAACTAATTAACTAGTATAATAAAAAATGTAACAAGAATACTAATTAACTAGTATAATGAAAAATGTAACAATTAGTGGGAATACTAATTAACTAATCAAGTATTCAAGTATTGTTAATAAAAATGTAAGTAATAAGACAAATGTATGAATGTGACTTTAAGTATAGTGACAATTAACTAGTTTTTTGAAGTAGTGTTCTTTTAGCAATTAATGTGAATACTAATTAACTAATTAACTAGTATAATGAAAAATGTAACAAGAATACTAATTAACTAGTATAATGAAAAATGTAACAATTAGTGAGAATACTAATTAACTAATCAAGTAATGTTAATAAAAATGCAAGTAATAAGACAAATGTATGAATGTGTATACTAATTAATGGGAGTAAATGAGTAATAGAATGATTTTAAGTGATATTAATTAAAGTGTAACTAATATATAATATAATATTTATATAATATAATATTTATAGTATATAATATATAAGTATACTACTATAAGATGAGTAATACACTTATATTTTATACTTTAATATATAAACTATATATTAAGTAGATGTAGAATGTATGTATTAAGTAGATATAAGTAGATAATTAATGTACAAAGGTGCAAAATACGGATTTCTTTCATCACCGTTCAATTAAAAATTAGGGTTCTTCGTCATGCTTCTCAAGCTATCTTCCTCGTCTATCTTCCTGGTCTGGTCATCTGCGAGAAAGTTCAGAGATTGAACTCATGGTGGTTGAAGGAGACCGTATGCATCTAGAAGTTCAGAGTTTTGGGATTTGAATAGAGCGAAAATAAAGAGCGACCCTCTTCAGAAAGCTGAGGTAAGTGAACTTAATGATTTTTTTAGTTACAACTGATTCATAATGGTAATATTTGAGTTTGTAATACCTTGAATTGTACCTCCTGAGTAAAACCTCGTTGGTAGTTGAATTCGTAATACCTTAAATTTAGGGTTAAGTATGAAGTTGTTGTCCTTGTTTTGTATTATTTTATGTTTAAATAAAAATGCCTTAACATTTTGAATTGTAATATTTATTTTCAGAATGTATGAAGTAGCAGATTTGAGAATTCATCATGGCGGAAATTTCCAAAAAAAACAACTCAACTTTCCTATGTCAATGGTGAATGGGTACTATTAGGTTGGACCCGGATTTGATTTCATTTCCTCATCTCATGAAGTTTATCACTCAGGA